ACGCGCCGCTGTACAGACCCGCGACCCGACACGATCAAGGAGGCTTATGTCGAGGATGTGGCTGAAGGACGGGCTAATGAAGCTAAACTAATTGATATTTGTAGCCCTAGATAAGATTGTCCGCTCAAAAAATTATCATTTACTATTCCATTATAATGTAAACGTTTATAAACATTTTTTCTTCAAATTTCGTTTACGACTGACCGTAAACGAAAACTAAACGGTGGGAGCCTTACAAGTTCTGGGAGCAGTGTCGGGGCGCTGAGAGTGGCTGAGTGGTGTACTCGCCTTATCTGGCAAGGCGAGAGGCCACTCGGATGTAACGGTCCAATTACAAGTGCAATAAGTTACAAGAATAAAAATTTTAAACGACAACGTAAACAAGGTATATATTACAGTATAGAATGTAATCTGCGACAATCACTTATCTACACAGGCTTCAATCCAGAGCAAGAAAATGCGCAGATGCCAGAACCTACACTTCCGTCATCTTGACCCACAACCCTCCCTACCCAGGCAAAGGAATTAAAACGTGCAACCAAACGAAAAAGTCCACATACCATCGTGTACATCGTGACGTGCGCTTGCGGCCTGATTTGTTCCACGCTCTTCCTTCCCCGCTGTCCTGCCCACTCCGGGGGAACGCGCATGTGCGGGGGCCACGCCTCGAGGTCCAGGGAGACGGAGACGAAGGCTTGCAGGAGGCGGACGAGCACAAACGACATTTCGTTGTACGCAAACTGTCGGTCAGATCAGAATCACAGTGAAGTGATTTGCAGAGAATTATGTTTACTTGCTGCCCCAAACAGATGCGCGGCCCGCCGTTGAACCTGTCAGCGTGTGAGGATGTCAATGTTCAGCAGGCACCAATACCCGGACAGACTGACGGTAAAAACTGCCATGGGTTCTGGACGAGGTACTTTTGCACACGCTCGTCCAGGAAGCGGTCTGGATCGAATTGGTCCGCTGGACGCACAGCACAGAGATAAGCCGCGTAGACCAGGGAGACAGAAACAGGAAAGCCTACCATCGGGTCCCCATAGATCAGCACGGCGCTGCATTATCATGACTGAGTACCAAATTCTGGCGTGGCATTGTTAACCTCAGTGTCATCGACGAGGATCATGAAGAACAACAGACTTCATGCCTGCAGGAATATAGATCGGCTTCTCGTTTGGATCTGGCGAGGGCCAGGTGGTAGCCTTCACAGTCTCTCTAAATGGAAATTAGTACTCGACAGGGACATGTACCGGAAATGGGCGATTATACCGGACGTTGAATGGGCTAGAGAGATGGCACTCAGTCCGAATACAGTGCAGGGACGGCAAACTCACACGGGCGGATACAGGCGCAAGGTTTCTGCAGTGCGATATTCAACACAAAAAGTTGCATGAGATACACTGAGGACGCCCAGCCTACCGTTAATCACAGCTCGCAAGTATTTCATATCCTTGATGTGCTCGTACGAAGGTCGTTCCGAGGGCCCTACGACGGCCATTATTTCATCCCGTAGACGGGCCGCGACGGGGGGATACATGGCAAGACTGGTGACAGCTTAGTCCCAGTGTTTGAAAATCAAAGAAAAGGAAAGCAAACAAGTAGATGGTGATAGTCAGGGTGTGCATTGTGGTGTCTCGTCCGGCTGAACATGAATGTGAGCTTGCAAAAATCGGAACCGAGGATAGCCGTACCAAGCAATATATTGAGACTAATCGATGGAAACTGTAATGAAACCGGTAATACAAATGATCATTCGCGAACACTAACGTTTGGTCCCGAAGTAACTTATGATCTACAGGACACAATCATCAGGCTGGCTTCATAGAATAGAAATACTGCCGACATACCGGTGGTTGAGTTCAGGAGTTCGTCTAGCAATGTGTCATTATCGCCAACGTCTGCGCCGGCCTCCTTGCCGCTCCGTCTCTTTCTCTCGACAGCTTTGGAAATGATAGGGTCCACAAATGCATTCACCGTCTTCATTGGCTTGGCCGTCCGGTCTTCAAGTAGCTCGAACAGCGGCCATACCCACCCGAGGCGCTCGCGGAGCGCAATTTGAAGCATCACCTCGCTGAACGCTGTAGGGAAATCCTGTGCTTGCAGCCGTTTGGAGGACGAGTGATAGTAAGGGTACGGAAGGTGAGCCGATAGGCTGTCGACGCATGTGCCGAAGAGAAACTCGGTGGCTGAATCCATGGTGAAACGGCTCACAAGGTCCTGCCGGGATATTCGATGCGAGTCGAATGTACACGAAAAAGTGAATGTACCTGAAAGTCAATGGGGAATCCTTCGCGCAGACGGCTCTTGATGAGAGAGATCATCTTTTCGGAGTGTCGATCGAATATTTCGAAGTGTCGGACGCGATCGCGGACGAAATACGGACGGGTCATGGTTCGGTGGAAAGACCACATTTCACCTGGAAGGGATTACAGGGTGGACTCTCTTTGGCTGCATCTTACCATCCGAATTGAAGACTCCGTCCTTCGGCAATAAGTATCAGTCACGTCTAATGAAGATGCCACTCACTCCCAGAACAGACTGCATATTAAGACGAAAACGATCCCCTGCAAGGCAAGGCATGGATGAATGGACACCTGCCAGATGGCGTAAAATACCTTTTACGTAATTGTGGAAATCTGTAGCCAAGAAGGTCTGCATGTGCTTTGGGCACGCTGTCAAAATGGCGTCGGACCAAAGAAGACGTAGATTGAACACAGGGCCATAGACGTCGGTCATCTCGTAGAGTCCGTCGCCTGATTACATGGGTTTTATCATAAGCCTATATTGAGAACGATTTAAGGATACCAAGATATCCAAACTTGAGGCCTTGCAGCAAGTTTTTGAGGACATCCACGTTCCCGGGCCATTTCCCTTTCACAGTCGGTGCCAGACGAGCTCCCGCCGCCTTCGCTTGAAGGTGGTAGTACAAGGTCGTTGTCGCAACCTTCCCCGCAGCGAGGACCAAAAGCCCTGCAGCCGAGAGCCCAAGGGCAGCTAAAGTGGATACAGTAAAGCCGAATGTAGCATTCGCCACCCCTCGGGCAAAAAAGATGCAGGCGACGGGTGGCAGGAGGTTGCGAACCAGAAAACGAATACCAGGGGAGATTTTCATGAGAGAAGATCGCACAGGAGTGCTGACACGGTATCATGATACAGCCGTTCGCGGCGATTATGCGCCTTCAAGCTCATGCAAAACACGTGGCTTCACCCGAGCCGCCAGCGGTTTGCTTTGAATGAGGTCAGAGAATTGCTGTGAGATAGTTCGCATTCTGGACTTTAGTTCATCGCTTGTGCCGCTAAGCGGCGCGGCTAACATATAAATTGAACTGAACTAGTCATGTGATGAGTCGGCCCCGTCACGGTCATTGGTCCAAATTGACATGACTCTACTAAACGTAAGTACTTACAGTTGCCGCGAACCATCATGGCGTTCTTCTCGTCGACTGCAGCCACGGGTGTAACCGCTGCAACCCCAAAGGACGCCGAAGTTGCAGATCCCCCCACCGACTCTGTCTCATCTCTGGCATTCTCCAACCAAGCAGATTATCTTGCAGTCGGTAGCTGGGACAACAGTGTACGTTTCGTGGAGCATGTGTGCGACTCACTATCCTTGACCCTTACACGTGTTTTAGGTGCGCGTATATGAGATTGGGCCTGGCGGGAAAAGCCAGGGAAAGGCGATGTACCAGCACCAGGGGCCAGTCCTCAGTGTGTGTTGGAGCCAGGTACAGCCAGAGACATGCCTCATTCCTTCTCGCTGACTCCTCGTCTAGGACGGTTCCAAGATTTTATCCGGCGGCGCGGACAACGCGGGCAGGATGTTCGATGTTGCCACTGGACAGGCAACCCAGATCGCGCAACACGACGCGCCAATCAAGGCTGTGCGGTGGATAGACTCTCCACAGGGTGGCATACTTGCGACCGGGAGCTGGGACAAAACAATCAAGGTACGAAACGCGCGCCTCGTGCAGGATATGTCGGCCAACGCACTCTCACAGTACTGGGATCTGCGCACGCCGTCCCCGGTCGCCACTGTTCAGCTTCCAGAGCGTTGCTACAGTATGGATGTTCAATATCCATTGATGGTTGTCGGGGCGGCTGAGCGGCACATCCAGATATATAACTTGACCGCTCCGACGACTGTATTCAAGGTTCGAGTGTTCTGATCACCCTTCTGTTAACTAGCTGAAGCATATTCTCAGTCTTTGCTATCACCGCTAAAGATGCAGACACGGGTCGTGTCCTGTTTTAAGGCTTCAGCGAATCAAGGCTATGCTGTGGGGAGTGTCGAAGGTCGAGCGGCGTTCCAGTGAGTGCCACAGTTTCTTTGAAGCCCAACTAAACTTTTGGACTGTAGATACATCGAAGACAAGGATTCTGGGTATGCCTGGTCTCCTCCGCGATTATCCTGTAGCCTAATACCTTCAAAGCGCCAATTTCTCGTTTCGTTGCCATCGGGTCAACGCTGCTGCTCCTTCCAAAGATGTCACAATTTATGGGGTGAACGACATCTCTTTCCATCCTATCCATGGCACGTTCAGCACTTGCGGTTCGTCGATTTTCTTGTCATGTTATTCTACTCATTGCACGCCAGGCGGCGATGGAACCATCGGATTCTGGGACAAGGATGCACGGGTCCGACTGAAAAGTATCGACATTTCTCTTCTTTTTTTTTTTGCGCATCTCATGACTCCGTCATAGCGTTCGACGCCGCCCCTGGGCCCATCTCCGCAACGGCATTTAGCCGCGACGGATCGATATTCGCGTATGCGGTCTCGTACGACTGGCATAAGGGTCACGGAGGGATGACGCCCGGTCACCCGAACAAGATCATGTTGCATGCGTGCAGGGATGAGGATGTGAAGAAGAAGCCGGCCAAGAGATAAGAACCTGTCCGTAATGACTTGAGTCTGGAGTATCTATGTATTTGCAGCGCGAAACTACTTCACCTGAAAGGATGCTGAAAGGTCAAATATGCATGGCCGGACTCATTGACATGCGGCCGTGTGGCAAAATGGTTACTGCGTTGCTTTCCGGCTCTTAGGAGTGCAAGGCAAAGACTCTGGGTTCGAGTCCCAGCATGGTCGATTTATTTTGATTAAAGTTTTGATCGAATTCAGTGGTTTTGGAATCAGTATTCCCTGCGCTCGCTGCTTACAGCTCCAACACAATTTTAAGCAGGACGCTGAGCTTAGCATTGGCTTAGCACTCTGAGTTTTGACTGTTGTGCTCATCGCGTGAGTATAGTAGGAATAATAGCTTGGGGAGCGCGCGGACGTTCGATCTCAACCAGTGGTTGGATATTCGCGACTCGCGACTCGGACTCGATTGCTTTGATTAATTTAAAAAGTTCCGGGTCTCAACTTGAACCAGGCTGCCAGTGTTACATTGGACCGCATTACCACAGTACTACCACTATAACGCAGAAAAAAATAACTTACACTACTCCCAAGCATCGTCGCCAAATCGTCGCGATCGCAAGTGAAGCAAGCCATGCTGTAGCGTATCTGTTAGGCCAGTGAGCCCAGCACCAGTGAAATCGATCCTCGCTCTCTGTCAGCAGACGCGATGGGTTTTCGATGACAACGTAGGGCGATACGAGTACAACAAGGTTTCACATTTAGAGCCCAGGCTGAGGACTTTGAGATGAAATCTAAGATGATTTTTTGTGGATGTTCTGAGTCTTGCTGATGGCTCAGTGGCGGTGCGGTGTCGCGTTCAGTCACGGCCATAGCACCGTGACAATCCTGGTGTGACTGCACTTTGATCATCCTTTTCTGAACATATTTCACTGCCCATTGTTCTTGTGCCACCTTGAGTATATAACGGGCCACTCTGTGAGTCCTTGCTCCTTCTCTCGTTGATCATGTCTAAAACGCGCAAAAGACATCATTTCACCAGCTTAACAGGCCCCGACGAGCCCTGGTTGCCGCCGCGTCCCACCAATCGAAACCGCTCTAAGCATGCATCAGAAAACCTCCGCATAGCCACCGTAACCAGCATGGCGAGCAAGCATACCGAATCGGGAGCCGGCGTAGATGTTCCGCATACCCCACCTCGTTCGAAGTCAGAGGTCGACTCCGCCACCCCTCATCGTACCTCATCACACGACTCCGAAGCGATTTACCAGCGCGTCGAAGAAATACAGGACGCCATCCTTGCGGAATTGGCAAGTGCCTGGGTAGAGGAAGCCGCCGACCTACCGTTCCAAGCGAAACTGACTAGCATTATCGACGCCACGGAGACCAACTTGGATCAGCGGGTTCTTAAATGGCTGCGGAAATATTCTGGTTATGACAATGTCACCAAATCTTGGACCGAAATTCCCAAGACCGCCAAACTCGAGGAAGATCTATATGACCCCCTCGTCGCCATCATGTCGGACATTCTCGAAGACTTTGACCGGACGACTCAGACCGACAACGGTCAGACCGACAACGGTCAGACTATTAAGCGGCGGTTGGTCAGAAACACCCACAACACGTACATGCCACACAATGAGGAAGACGCAGCGAACAAGATCCTTAAATCCGAGCCCGACATATCAGTCTTTGGGACCGGACCTTCTGCTACGAAGAGTGCAAATATCCCCGAAGACAATCGGTACTCCCATGTCGCGAGTCTTTGGGAGGTTAAACTGGAGTCGACGTTCGGGGATAAACAGCGGAAGCAGATAGCCGCGTACAGCCGCGAGACCTTCATACAGCAACCGAATCGCATATTCGTCTATGCCACCATGTTAACAGCACGCGACATCCGAGTTCTTCGATTCGACCGCGCTGGATGCTATTATTCCCGAAAAATCGACTATCATGCGAACCCGGTGTTCTTCGTCAAACTCGTCCTCCTTCTCAGCTCATTTGACGAAGCCATCCTTGGTTTCGATACGTCGATATACTGGGAGAACGGGAAGCGGAAAATGAAAATCGCTCCCCTTGAAATCTTCGACAAGACCGCGAAGTCTTGGGAGGCCAACACGAGAGAATTGGTGTTCGACCTCGACGACAAGCCTCTGTTCTCCAGGCGTACGATTCGATCACGAGGCACCGTTTGTTGGGTCGCCACATACAACGACGAGCAGTACATTGTAAAGGACTATTGGCGCGCTGACGGTCGCTTATGCGAATCGGAATTCTTGCGAAGCCTCGTCAACATCAAGGGTGTGGGACAGATGCTCACGTACGTCGATGACCGGGATTCAATCAAGCTGGCACGAGGCCTGGAGAACATGATCTCGGACAGCGGGGCGCCTGTGGCGGACCGGTCGTTCATGCGCGTCGTTGTCCGGAAGTACGGCGAGACTTTGGAGAAGGCCACGTCTGCTCGTCACCTTCTTTGCGCGGTTCGCGATATCGTCGAGGGTGTGTCCCCTCGCGCCGTTGTTCCACGACTCGAACTTATTTCTTATTATCCAGGCCATCGCGACAGCTTGCTGGAACTTGATACGCTTCACCGCGATATCAGCTTCAACAATCTTCTTCTAAGCCTGACTGCGGACGATGCGCGTGGCGTCATAATCGATTGGGACATGGCGAAAAGGATGACAGACCTCGTTAGAGAAAAAGGCCGAGGCACGGACGGCGATTTGAGAACGGTGCGTATCACTCAAGCGATTCTATATTTCACTTCAACTCGTTTCCATAGGGCACTATGGCCTATCAATCGGTGAAAAAACTACACGGTGATCCACGCCTCAGCCACCACGACCACATGGACGACCTCGAGTCCATTTTCTACGTCCTTAGCTTCGTCCTGTTTTGTCATGATACTTGTGGTATCCTCCTTGACGACATAGGGAAGTTTGCTTCCTGGTTTAATCCGTCATCACCCCCGATCGTTATGGCCGACGTCAAGAAGGCGTTTCTGGTGAGCATCTTCACGCAGCCGCTGTCGCGATACGTTGGACCAGAGAAAGCTATTCTGCTAGCTTTGATGAACAAGCTACGAACATTCTTCCGAATGCGGATGGACCTTGTCGACCATGTCTTTGCTGAGGACCCGATTCCCTTTCCTGCCTACTCTGTAGAAGAAGCAAAAGGTGATTTCGAACGCTTCCTCGACCACATCCAGCAAGCCATCGAGACCTTGCCGCCTGACCCTCCCCGCACCTCGCCCGGCCCTCCCAGCCCCAGCGGCTCGCTGAAGCGCCCTCGTGAAGCAGACGACGAGTCGACCCGACCACAGAAGAAGGGCTCTTCTAATTCACCCGCACCGTCCTCGACTTCGGGCGCAAACTGCTCCTCGCGTGTTTTGCGCCGGGGCGCACAGCACAAGTTGCACAACTATAAGGAGCCTGAAACCGAGTCAGACTCCGACACCGACACTTCAGGGCACACGCGCGAAGTGAGCCCTTCCCCGTTGCCCGCATCCAAGAAGGCGAGAGGAAAGGCGAGAGCGCCTGCAACATCGGCTACACGTAGGCGGGGGCATACTGCTAGCACTAGTAGCAAAGAGGGCGCAAAGCGCCGGGGATGATATTAAAGGTCTCTGCAACTCCCTAGAATCTGTACCATGGCTGCGGCTGGCGCCTAGTCGACCTTGAGTAGACTTTGTTTCCACTGATGATGACGATCGTGTCGTGATTTCTGAGCCAAAAGATGGCGCTGTAGTCGCACTTGTAGACGTTACCGGTGCATCCTGTACATAGATACGCATCAGTTATAAGTAGGGAGGCGATGAAGTTCGTCATGCGGGATGATACGGAAGACGAAGCGCGCAAGATTGGTCTTGTCATACAGTGTTCAAGGAAGGAATTTTAACCGCAGCGGTCCCATTAAGGAACATATGTAGCGGGGCGGCATATAATCATCCAGATTGGAGTCAGAAAGGACCTCGACGTGGCGAAAACGGCATGCATTTACAAGATCATACTGTACAGGGTCCAGTTCAACAAGAGAATATGGTCAAGTTACATGTTACACGCTGCGCTTCAAAAGGTCGGGACGTCGAAAATATCGTCGCGATCTGTAACCCCGTCAAATAAATGAGAATTGCGAAAATAAACCGGAGGCGACGCAGACGCACCCTTGCCATTGGCGTACGAGTACTCCTTCTCCTTCTGCGCGAGGTGCATGAAGAACGACTCGTGCTCGTGCGCGTTGACTGCGACGGCGGGGTTCGAGAGCGCGCCGCCGCGAACAGCGGCGGCGGCGACGTGGTAGCGGGAGGTGTGGTTGCAGAGCATCATCTGCGTGCGTGGAATGCGGAGGTCAGTCAGGCGCTTAGTTTATGACAAAGGACAAGGACGCACATCGAACGGACTCGTCGTCGTGCCCTCCTCGCGATACCCCTCAATTGATACGCGGTCGACCCCTCGCCGTCCAAAGAGCAGGCCCTGCAGCTCGATCGGGTACCCGTGGTAGTTGAAGTGCACCGGTTTGTCGCGCGTGAAGAGCGCGGCAAACGCGTCGTCGCTGAGCGCGTGTGGGTGGGAGGCGGAGGAAGCGTGGTGCCCGCTGAGGATCATGAGGTCCGTGACGTTCACAACGCGCACGCGCAGCGCGGGGACGTGCGCGCGCAGGAGGGCGGCGGCGGCGATGACCTCGAAGGTGACCTCCACGCCAATGCCGACGAGCACACTGATTGTTGTGAGCAAGGTGTAGGATACAGAAACGGTTGCTACTTACACGTCAGGGTTGACACCGTCGTCGACGCTCGCGAACTTCCACACAGATGCACCGGCAATGCAGTGCTGCGGATCCCATCAAGCGGCCGAACGACGCAAAAGCAACATTGTGGCGCAACTCACCTTATCCGCCTCCTCGGGCGACAGCCACACCGGTGTCGGCTGCTTGCTCCCTACCATCAAATTAACGTAGTTCTTCGCCCTTAGACAGTGCGACATTGTCGACAAGAAGCAGTTCGCGTCGGGCGGGAGGTACACGCGCGCCTGCACAGGCTTGAGGTTCAGCACGGCGCCAATGAATCCCCTGGACAGTGTAACTCAAGTAATCTTGCGTCGCAGACAAATGACGCACGGATTCTGATGAGAAAAACCATTATGCTCCTGACGCGCCCAGGTGGAGGTCTCGAGGTAGTTGAGCGATCCGCACGGCTGGCGCCACGTAATCTCTGACGCCTGCGGGTG